TGAACACCCCGGCTGCCCATTTGAAATTTATTGCACCTATTAATTACAACCATTAGCTGCAGCCAGTGAAATTTTTATAATGAGGACCCTGGCGACTTTGCCTCGCCAGCAGCAAATTAACTGCGTGGGGGGAAGAATCAATGGCATCAGCAGACTTTACAGAAGCGATGTTTTAATTAGCGATTCTCTGCAAACATGCCAGGCAACATCTTCTCCCTTCATTATCTCCCCTTAAAGCGGTGGTGCTGCTTTGCAGGTCGGTTTTATCCCCTCCTCTGGCTCCTCCGTTGTTGGGTTTTTAATGCTCGGCTGCTCATTAGAGAAGCAGCTTTGAAGTGGGGCTTGGCTCAGGATTGGTTGTAAGCAGCAAAATGTCCGAGTTTTTTGGTGGTTTTTATTTGTTTTTTTGTTTTTTGGGGGTTTTTTTTGGTTGTTTTATTTTGGTTTTTTTTGGCTGGGGGTGAGGAGGAAGTAAAAAGGCAGGCGAGGAAATAATGGGTTCGAAAAGTTGGCTGGAAAAAATGCTAAATTGAATGGAATTTGTGTCTGGGAGGAGGATGAGGAGGAGTGTGGGGAAGGGGTTGTGTCCACACAGGGAGAGGATGTCCCAACAGAGAGTTCTGGGAGGCAGGAGCTGAGATTTGGATGCTTAAAAATCAAAGGAATGAAAAATCCCAGGCAAAACTGTGCATGGAGGATCCCCATCACCCAGAAAAGCCCTGGATTTGGAAACGAATCCCTGCAAGGCCCAGATGTTTCTTTTTGCAGGGAGCAGAATGGAATTAAGTTATTTGTGATGAAATGGAGGAGGAGAAAAAAGATTTCATTTGCCTTTCATGATAACTGCTCCATCCGTACCCACAGCCACATCCACAAGCAAGGATTTTAGGAGGGACTGATGATTTTGGGATCGTCAACCTGGTTTTTAAAATCCACTGAGCAGAGCAACCAAATCCTGGGCTTTTCTGGGAGATGGGGATGCTCCATGCACAGAGTTTTGCCTGGGATTTGGAAATGAATCCCTGCAAAGCCCAGCTGTGACTCTTCCATGGTTGTTCTGCTCAGTGGATTTTAAAAACCAGGCTGACGATCCCAAAATCATCAGTCCCTCCTAAAATCCTTGCCTGTGCATGTGGCCGTGGGTACGAGTGGAGCAGTTATCATGAAAGGCAAATGAAATTTTTTCCCCTCCGTTTCATCACAAATAATTTAATTCCATTCTGCTCCCTGCAAAAAACACAGCCTGGATTTCCACTGCAAATAATCTCTTTTCCCAAGGAAAGAGCCCAGCGCGCTGGCAGCAAAAGGCAGCTCTGAAACCTGGGAATTCTAATGCAAAACTTGTTTTTTCCCCCAAAAGATTCCCTAAAAAGTTAATTCGAGGGCATCTCCCAGAAATACAAATGCTAAGGGAGAAAAATCAGCTGGAATGGAAGCTCCTGGTGCCTGAACATTCCACCAGCAGCTGGCGGCCACTGGTGTCACCGGGAGCATCACCAGAGCCGAGCCACCCCTGCTGCCCTTCCCTCCTGGAGCCGGGAGCTTGGAAACGCCAGGAAAATGGGAATTGCTGGGTTAAGGAACAGATTAGGTCCAGCTGCTTCAAAAAGACATTTTTCCGGGCTCGGGGAAAGCGACATTCTGAAAGTGAGCGGGCTGATTGCAGCCAGCTCCCAATTCATCACCGTGACAGTGACAAACATGGCCCGGGGTTATGCAGTTGACTGAAGGGAATTCTCCAGCTTCACATTTTTAATGCTCCACTCATTTTCTCGGCTGCAGCCGAGTTTTTATCCCCAGGATCTTCTCCCTTGAATGGAAAGGGCAGCGTGGGGCTGCCCAACCCTTGCAAATCAGCCAGAGCTCGCCCAAGCCAGCTCGTTTCATTTTTTTTTCATTATTCCTTGCTCCTCCACCATCCCTTTTTCCACCTTTTCAAGGGGAACAGGAGCGTCGGCCTCAGCTGGGCTGCCTCCATTCTCCGGGGCTCATTCATCATTGTCCCCTGCCTGAATGGGAGGCAGAGGGTCAGCCTGAAAAGCCGGAGCGCTCCAAACCCCTCCAAATATCTCAATAGGGCCCTAGTGGGGTCCCAGCCAGACCCCCCAGGCTCTCGGGGTGGTTTTGTGTCTGACAAAAGGGGGTGGAGGGGGGGACGGGGACATGGGGTGGCACAGGGCACCCCTGGGGACCTGCCTGGGAGGTCTGGGACTTTTCTGGGTATTAAAAACAGCGTTGTTTAATTTGATTATTAAACAACCCCGGAGCGAGGAGAGGATGGGCCAAAGGTGGGTTAGGTAGTGCTGGAGCAACCCCCACACTGTCCCTGTCACCACCTCCCGTTCCCTGCTCCAGCTGGGATGTTAGCGGCCGCCTCTGTCCCCCCAATCCCCCTCGGGTGCCCCCTTATCCTCCTCTGTCCCCTCGGGCCCCTCGGCACCGGCAGCTCCCCCACAATTCACACAAAAAGCGGCTGCACAAAGGGGACACGGAGCCACGGCCGGCGGGGCAGCCTCTCGGAGCATCCTTGGAACCCCTGCCCGCTCTCCTTTGTGTGGAGAATCCTCTCGGAGCATCCCTGGAACCCCTGTCTGCTCCTTTGTGTGGAGAATCCTCTCGGAGCATCC